CCAACACCATAGTATGAGACACATCCCCATATCATGATGCTTGCACAACCATGCTTCACTGTCTTCACAGTGTACTGTGGCTTGAATTCAGTGTTTGGGGGTCGTCTGACAAACTGTCTCCGGCTACTAGACCCAAAAAGAACAATCTTACTTTCATCAGTCCACAAAATGTTGCACCATTTCTCTTTAGGCCAGTCAATGTGCTCTTTGGCAAATTGTAACCTCTTCAGCACGTCTTTTTTTCAACAGTGGGACTTTGCGGGGGCTTCTTGCAGATAGCTTGGCTTCACATAGGCGTCTTCTAATTGTAACAGTACTCACAGGTAACTTTAGACCTTCTTTCATCTTCCTGGAGCTGATTGTTGGCTGAGTCCTTGCCATTTTGGCTATTCTTCTATCCATTCGAATGGTAGTTTTTTGCTTTCTTCCACGTCTTTAGGGTTTTGGTTGCCATTTTAAAGCATTTGCAAACATTTTAGCTGAGCAGCCTATCATTTTCTGCACTTCTTTATATGTTTTCCCCTCTTCAATCAACTTTTTAATCAAGGTACGCTGTTCTTTTGAACAATGTCTGGAACGACCCATTTTCCTCAGAATTTCAGAGAGAAATGCACTGTAACCAGCATGTACAACATTTGCTGCCTTCCTTCCTTAAATAAGGGCAATAATTGCCACCTGTTTTTCAAAGAATGAATGACCTCACAAATAGAACTCCACACTGCTATTATTTTGAACATGCCCCTTTCAATTAGTGATTCAATTACACAGAATCAGCAGCATGCATGTCATGACTGTTGGGTCTGTTGGATTTCAATTACTCTACTACACCTGCTAGTAAATTATTTGCCATGTAGAAATATCATTTCTACCAAAAACAGTGATTGATCAGGTTAGTGATGTCTGACTGCTATTATTTTGAACACAACTGTATGTGTGTATGCACATTACCTTTAATCCTGACCCCCTATTCCTGTACTATTAGAACTGCTTTTTTGGGGCTTGTTCATAATAGCAACATGGACTGCTGCTCCTCTGAAAAGCAGTCCATGCTCAGATTGCTTTTCAGAGGCATTTGACAGGTGGTAAAGAGGCAATGTGTTGCTTCCTCACCACCTGTTTTAACCTCATAAATGCAGCATCACCACACCACATCCGAGTGTAATGCACACAGTTGTATGGTGGTTGCAGTGCAGTCCATTCTGGCGGTATACTTCCAGCCATGGAAACATCATGTGTACACTCTCAGCTGCTGCCTCTGCAGCTAAAGGGGATCAATTGGGGATAGTAAAAACAGCTCAACCGCGTATTTTTACCACCTCCAACCGCACATGTGAACAAGCCCTTGGTTCACATCTGTTTGGCTGCATACTGCGTGTAGTACAGCCCATTCATTTCAGTGGGCTGCCCTATCCGCAGAAATGCAGGGAAACAAGTCCCCGACCCTTTTTTTAAAAAAACTGTGCCACACCAAAACACCCCACATTCCGCAACACGCAATAACGTGAACCAAGCCTTGGACATGCGTGCCTTGAGACTGAAAATACTTTTCAAGGGCGCCCCCGGCTGGAAAAAGGTTGAGAAACACTGTGTTAGACCAGCCTTTTTCAACCAGGGTGCCTTGAGGTTTCTTCAGGGGTGCCTTGGCAAAATGGCTAAAAAGCACCCAAAAATTGTATACAAGCCAGAGGTGGATCAAGCCTGCGTTTTAGTTACACAAAGCCACAGGTTTACTTTGTGCATCATTGTGACCTTCTAGCCGCCGGCATCCCAACAACTAATGACATCATTGGTTGATAAGGAGGATGTTGGTCGTCTGCATAGCATTCTTGTTTGACTGTCCCCTGCACCTCTGCCAGTGCTTGGGTCACATTAGCTCAGTGATTGAAAACTACTGAGGGAGAAGAGAAACACTGGAATACTAGTCAGTACCAGTGTGCAAAAGTGTATTTGATTTGGAAGAATAAACCACATCTAACATTGGGTGTCCTACGTGTGTGGATGTTGATGCATTATGTAAAACTATTTGAATAATGTTTTACATTTTCAGAATAGGATGCCTCAAGGCTGCCCAAAATTTTAAAGGGTGCCTTGACTGGGAAAAGGTTGAGAAACACTGATCTAGAAGTTTATATTCATTGAAGATCAATACCAGTAGCTTCACAATTGTATTCTCATGATTTCAGCTTTCTCGATATTTTAGAACTAAGCATTGTACCAAATGCTTTTCTAGATTTTGCAAAGTATGTTGGCACTTCCTTTCAGGTTGTTTTGAATTTCCAGAAAGCCAGGTACTATTTACAAAACACAAGATTGTATTATTTACTGTAAATGTGCTTGCTACAGTAAACCAATTATTAAACTGCAGTGATTATAAGTAAATCTATTTGATATTACGGAAAATGAGCCATGTGAATTAACACCACACACATACCAAAAATAAATACAATATTGCATTGTACTATTCACTCACAGTCACTATCACTGATCTATTACCCCATTGTGTATTTCTGGAAAAAAAAAGTATTCTAAAAATACTCTATATTGCCAAAAGTATTGGGATCATTGGATTCAGGTGTTCCAATCACTCCATGTTCACAGGTGTATAAAATCAAGCACCTAGGCATGCAGACTGCTTCTACAAACATTTGTGAAAGAATGGGTCGCTTTCAGGAGCTCAGTGAATCAAGCGTGGTACCGTGATAGGTTGCCACCTGGGCAATAAGTCCATCTGTGAAATTTCCTTGCTACTAAATATTCCACGGTCAACTGTTAGTGGTATTATAACAAAGTGGAAGCAACTGGGAACAACAGCAACTCAGCCACGAAGTGGTAGGCCACATAAAATGACAGAGCAGGCTCAGCGTATGTTGAAGCGCACAGTGTGCAGAAGTCGCCAACTGTCTGCAGAGTCAATAGCTAAAGACCTCCAAACTTTGTGTGGCCTTCAGATTAGTACAACAGTGCTTATAGAGCTTCATGGAATGTTTTTCCATGGCCGAGCAGCTGCATCTAAGCCTTACATCGCCAAGTGCAATGCAAAGTGTCAGATGCAGTGGTGTAAAGCACACCGCCACTGGACTCTAGAGCAGTGGAGATGTGTTCTCTGGAGTGATGAATCACGCTTCTCTGTCTGGCAATCCGATGGATGTATCTGAGATTGGCAGTTGCCAGGAGAACGGTGCTTGCTGACTGCATTGTGTCAAGTGTAAAGTTTGGTGGAGGGGGAATTATGGTGTGGGGTTGTTTTTCAAGGGTTGGGCTTGACCCCTTAGTTCCAGTGAAGGGATCTCTTAAGGTGTCAGCATACCAATACATTTTGGCCAATTTCATGCTCCCAACTTTGTGGGAACATTTTGGGAATGGCCTCTTCTTGTCTTTCATGACTGCACACCAGTGCACAAAGCAAGGTCCATAAAGACATGGATGAGCGAGTTTGGAGTGGAGGAACTTGACTGATCTCAATCCGATAGAACACCTTTGGGATGAATTAGAGTGGAGACTGTAGGCCAGGCCTTCTCATCCGACATCAGTGCCTGACCTCACAAATGTGCTTCTGGAAGAATGGTCAAACATTCCCATAGACACACTCCTAAACCTTGTGGACAGCCTTCCCAGAAGAGTTGAAGCTGTTATAGCTGCAAAGGGTGGGCCAACTCAATATTGAACCCTATGGACTAAGACTGGGATGCCATTAAAGTTCATGTGCGTTTAAAGTCAGGCACCCCAATACTTTTGGCAATATAGTATTTATGTTTTATTACCTGCTTGAATACATTAAAGCAGTATTAGACACAAAGCAAATGTTTATTATATTGTAGTTTACCAGTTCCTAGATGTGATAACCGTTTTAGACTTTCTTTTCTTCCATTTTCATATGGTCATCCAGTCAATAAAGCTGTTGCTTTTCAAAAGAACAACTCTCTTGTAGTTACAGACATTAGACATGCCATTTAATATTGGCATGGGTGCTTAAAATGATCAGCTTTTATTTACAGTATTTATATAAAACCTTTATCTCACAAGGAAAAACTGTTTGTTGAAACTAATAATGTATTAGCTGGAGTGCAGCTTCAATTTGTTAGTGTATTCAAATCTGCTAGCATTTTTAACACATTCCTCATCCAGATTGGCAATGCTGCGATCAAACCTACCCCTTGTGCTCATTCATCCAGAATGGTGTCTGTATAATACAGGGGGTATATTACTGGCCAGGTCACCAGGAGAAAACAGAGGGGAAAAAACCTAAAAAAGAAAACTAATACAGCAACTACGTTTAATGATTGGTTAGCTGCAATATTGCACATTTTTTGGTATTGGGTTTAATACTGCTTTAAGCGTACTGCCTATTTCTAAATCGTGATTAAATCACATCTTGTTCATATCACCTAACTCTTGTCCCTTGAATTGTCCCTTGTTAGGCCTTAGTAACTGTTTCTGTGACAATAATGAGGTTTGATATTGACCGTGAGTGGGGAGAATAAAGAAGTCATGTTGTACACAGTTAAATGCACATATTCACCAGCACAGCAAGGATCTCCAAATGTGGTCCAAACAAGCTTTTATTGCAGAATGATCACATCACAAAGGAACAAGTGCAATGTTTCAGAGGTAAGCAGGACCTCTTTGTTAGGCATGTGATTACCAATGACTAATAGCTGGCTATGACTAATCACGTGATCATGTGAAACACATTAACAGTCAGCAGATGTCCTGGTGCTGAATGTTTTGTGTCTTTTTAAGGACCAATAAATATTTTTCATGTTTTTTCTTTAACTACCTGCCGACCGCAGATAGCTGAATGACGGCTGCACTGCGGCCGGCCAGTTCTGGGTCGACGTCATATGACGCCCTCCCAGAACACGCTCTCCTGCGCGCCCCAGGGGGCGCGCACCCGGCGATCTCCGTGATCGCTGTGTCCTACGGACACAGCTGATCACGTGATGTGGTAAAAGGCCAATCACAGCAGCCTTTTACCACGTGATCAGCGGTGTCCAATGACACGCTGATCAGAGGGAAATGCAAGTGCCGGTTCTCGGATGCACTTTCCTCACGCTGTCAGATCGTGAGGAAAGTACTGCCGAGAACCGGCAGTTGTCAGAGCGGGGATCGGCACCGATCATCAGGGCACTGATGATCAGTGCCCTGATGATCGGTGCCCAGCAGTGCCACCCGCAAGTTTCGCCCACCTGTGCCCAGCAGTGCGCCCACTAGCTCCGCCCACCTGTGCCCAGCAGATCACCCACCTGTGCCCAGCAGTGCACCCACCTGTGCCACTCTGCAGTGTCACACACCTGTGCCCAGAAGTGCCACCTACCTGTGCCCAGCAGTGCCACCCACCTGTGCCCACCCACCTGTGCCCACCAGTGCCACCCACCTGTGCCCACCCACCAGTGCTGCCCACCAGTGCCACCCACCAGTGCAACCCAGCAGTGCTGCCAGTCAGTGCCACCAGTCAGTGCCCAGGGGTTGTGCCAGTCAGTGCCGCCAGTCAGTGCCCAGCAGTGATGCCAGTCAGTGCCGTCTATCAGTACCCATCATCAGTGTCACCTATCAGTGCTGCATATTAGTGCTGCAACGCACATCAGTGCCACCTGAAGGAGAAAAAACACCTGTTTGAAAAAGGATTTTTGATAATAGAAACAAAGAAACTTTTTTTTTTCTCAAATTTTTTTTGCACTTTTTTTATTTATAGCGCAAAAAGTAAAGTGCCCAGTGGCGATTAAATACCACCAAAAGAAAGCTCTATTTGTGAGAAAAAAAATGATCAAAATTTCATATGGGTACAATGTTGCATGACCACGCAATTGTCAATCAAAGTGCGGCAGCGCTGAAAGCTGAAAATTGGCCTGGTAAATAAGGGGGTATAAGTGCCCGGTAGGCAAGTGGTTAAACCTCTGGTGCGCAGCCATTCCTTCTTCCTACAGCTGTCACTGACAGTGTCACACAATGCTGCAGCCACTCACACACAGCCACAGCTGCAGCTCTTCTCCCTCTTCTTGCCTGCTAGTGAGGAGAGGAGGGAAGAGAGAGGCAAACACTGAACATTTCCAGTGCTGTGTGCAACTGTAGAGAGAGCTGGAGGAAAGCCTTGCCCACCACCAGGTGAGCAGAGGAAATTATAATGTAATCCTGTGTACCCTGGAGAAGGACAAAGCCTACTGATTTGTGGGAGATGTAGTCCTTGGAGAGACTGAGTCTGTACTGCAGTTTTGTTCTTGAACTACAGATCCCAGCATTACCAGAGCTCTGCAGAGGAGGCAGAGGAAGGACTATTCCTGAGTTTATTATCCTGGAATTATTGGAAGTTAGTTGTAGAGTGCATGCTGTGCAGCAGGCTGCTGATGGAATGATTTGCCGCAGTGTCAGAATTTCAGAGAGCCAAAGTCACTGATATCTTCTAGTCTGTGGGAACACCATTGTCAAGCCAGGTGTTGCTGCCTCGTCATGGGAAGGATGTCACTGCAGCTAGTATCTCTGAGCCCTGGACAGACAGCAGGAGGGGACAAGTTGTCATCCTATATGGGAGAAGTCACTGGCCATATCCTACTGCACCCTATATAAGGGAACAGTGTTGTTTGTTTGGGCACTGCTCAGGCAAGTCTACCTGGGTTTAGAGGGGCATACGTTTGAACGCTCTGATGTCAGATTTGGTGCCCAACGCACTGGAAAAGGGGGTGAGGGTTTGCTAGAGATTGATGGACAGGGCCGTGGATAAGGGGGTACCACTGGTCCTCCTGTATGGGGCCCAGACCATCAGGGTGGCCCTATCATCAGGGTGAATTGGATGTGAGCAGGGAAGGTGATCGGCGCAGCGGGGGGTGGGGGGGGCAGTTACTGGAACTGATCCCTTGTATGGCTCTCTCTGCAGCACCCTACCAGTGCATCACACATTTCCCCATGCTGCCCAAGCCCCCCTGTGTGCCTTCCCCCACACCCCTGCAGTGCTGCTGGCTTCCCTCCTCTCCTTCCCACCACCAGATGCAAGAATACAATAGGATCAATAGGATGGAGAGTGTGAGAAGGGTCCGTAAATATGTCACATTTACCAGCCCCTTCCTTTCCTGAATGAACACAATGGTGATCAATAGCGATCACTCACTGTGTTCATTCGTAACTGAAGCATAAAAAATTGTGTTTATTTGGGGGCCATACTACATTGGCTGTATGGGGCCCCTTGGTTTCTAACAGCAGCCCTGCTGATGGACCTCTAGTCTTGCATTTCCCAATAGTCAGGACCCCCATTAGTATAGAGGATAAAAGTAAAGTCATTGGTCTACGTGCTATTTAGTGAGTCACACATTATTTTCCGTATATCTTCTGGCTGTTGATTTATTGTCTGTTGTTACAATAAATATTCACACTTCAGTCTTGGTGTGTCAGACGGTGTGAACTGTTGAGAAGGTCATTGACACCTGGAGTCAGGGGACCCAAACATCAGTTGTTCCTTTGGGGGTAAGGGTTAAAAAAAAAGTAAAAAAAAGCTTCTGTCTACATTTTTGTCAGTTAAAAAAAAAACAAAAAACTGAATTTTTTTTTTGTAAATTAGCTTACCAAATCAAAGCCATATATCCTTAAAATTATATGAATTTTTTTTAGGAATACAAGTTAGTAAAAAATGCATTGTCAGGTTAACCAATGCCTGTTGATGTTTTTAACCACTTGCCTACAGGGCACTTATATCCCCTTCCTGTCCAGGCCAATTTTCAGCTTTCAGCGCTGTCACACTTTGAATGACAATTGCGTGGTCATGCAACACTGTACTCATATGAAATTTTAATCTTTTTTTTGAGACAGATAGAGCTTTCTTTTGGTGGTATTTAATCACCTCTGGGTTTTTTTATTTTTTGTTAAACAAACCAAAAACAACTGAAAATTTTGAAAACAAAATGTTTTTTCTTAGTTTTCGTTATAGCATTTTGTAAATAAGTGATTTTTCTCCTTCACTGATGTGCACTAATGAGGCTGCAGTGATGGGCACTGTTAGGCTGCACTGATAGGTGGCACTGGTAGGTGGCACTGGTGGGCATTGACAGGCATAACTGAAAGGCAGCACTCATATATGGCACTGATAGGTGGTACTGATAGGTGGCACTGATAGGCGGCACTGACTGGCACTGTTAGTTGGCATTGACTGGCACTGTTAGTCATCACTGATAGGCAGCACTGATGGGCACTGGATAGGTGGCACTGACTGACACTGATAAGTGGCACTGACTGGCACTGATAGGCGGCACTGACTGGCAGCACTGGTAGGTGGCACTGACTAGCATTGATAGGTAGCACTGACTGGCACTGATAGGTGGCACTGAAAGGCAGCTCAGATGGGCACTGATATGTGGCATGGTTGATGTGCACTGGTAGGCACTGATATGTGGCACTGATGGGCACTGGCAGGTGGCATGGATGAGCACTGACAGCCCACATTGATGGACACTGACAGGTGGCACTGCTGGGGCTACACTGATCATCAAGGCACACTGATCATCAGTGCCTTGATGATCAGTGTACATGTTCCCTCTGAGGAATGCCGATTACCGCCTCTGCTCTTGAGCTGTCAGCGTGACAGTTCGTGAGGAGAGAAATGCCGATAACCAGCATTTTTTTATTTACATGCGATCAGCTGTCATTGGACTCAGCTGATCACATGACCGAGTCGACATCTTTGGCTCTTTGTTGACCAGTGATCCGCTGTGTCTGAGGAACACAGTGCACCACCGATTGCCGCGCTGTGCTTAGAAAATCTGAAATTTCATGCATTTTGTAACCCGATGGTGCCACCATTGATTTCGAAAATCAACCAACCAAGCCTTCAATTTCACCTCATCTTGCTACAAAAAAGAATTTTCATGGCCAAGAATTTTCTTTTCTGTCAAGGACACAGCTTATGCTAATTTATTTTTCGTTTATATTTCCTGCGCGATTCTCCCATCATTGATTCAAAATGTGTTCATTTTTCAAAATATTTCCAACATGCCCGATCATTCAGATTCAATGGTCACACAAAAATTGTCCGTTTCTGTGACCCACTAATGGTGTGAAATTCCAACGAAAATTCTTAGAAAAGATTTTCGAAAGAAAATTCTTTCGGAATTCGACCCATGTATGGCCAGCTTTAATGCTTTATCTGTGTTAAATTAGCCTCAGAACCTGTGTAATTAATATGTGTTTGGTTTTAAAGGGATGAGGTGCCAACCCCACACCCGCCGCACCCCCTTCACCCTGACAGATAATTTCCCTGTACTATCTGTCAGATTTGAAAACAGCATGGCCGTGTGGGGCTCCGCCCACATGGCCGTGTCATTCATTCACGGACTTCCGTGAATGAATGAACTACAAGTCCCGACAGCCTTAGTGGCTGTGGGCTTGTAATTTTAAATGAGCTACCACGGCCCTATGGAGCGCCATGGTAGTTCATTGATTCTCCCTGACAGAGTATCTTCTTGGCCATACATCCTGTACAGCAAGCAGATATACTGACAGGTCTGCAGGAGACCTGCATGGCTCCAGTATTCTACTGATCGCTGGAATAATGTTTTCCAGGGTCCTTTGGGCAAAATTAATAAATGCACATTTTTTTTACCCGCAAAAAAATGTGCATTTATTATTTTTGTCCAAAAGGTGAACTTATACTTTAAACTGTGTTTCGCAGGCTCTGCTTTACCTTTGCTGTTAATGCTTTTGTAATAAGGGATTTGCTAACGGAAGCCACCGAAGTTCATGGGATAGCTCAGTAATATTGCAAGCAATATTAGGGTCAATGAGGTATGACACAATCCCCAATGAAAGTGAAAATTTGTGTTAGTGGCTCAGTAAACCCTTTTATGGCTGAAGGTATGGAACATATGTAGGAACATATGTAGATTACTGTCTGTTGCATCCAATGGGAGTTTTCATGTAAGTCATAGTCTCAGATGCTGGTGTGTATGTTGTCATATATTGCCCTCTTGTGCACAAACTTGGAACTGTTATTTTGTATCTGACAGTTGCTTACACATTTGTGGTGCTGAACTATTTTAGCCCTAGCAACATATACTCAGATAATTTTGTGTCTTGTCAATGTTCTGTGAACAGGGTAGGATTCACAAATTGATCTTCATCCTGTTATATTTCAAATGTTTCCTTTTCAAAAAGTAAAACAAAAAGGCTTTTGATGTCCATGTAACTTGCCATGCTCTGTACCAGAAGCATAATTTTAATGCCATTTTAAACTGGATGAATGTTAGAGTAAAATATACAGTTTTAATTTTTTTTTAGTATTTATATCTATAGATTATTTAGAAAATAAATATATTTTATGCAAATAAAGCCTAGTTTGTCCCTACAAAAACAGTGCATGGATTAATTAGAGACAATGTCACCTCAATAAATAGACCAAAAGAAGAAATATTAAAATTCCTCTGGTCCATAAAGAGTATAAAGGAATGAGAGCTGAAGTGGTTAAGGCATTTTCAAGCAAAAATCATTTGTAAACCATAAATTGGTGTAGAATGATCAAAAAGCCCTTGGTTTTTCACTAACAGCTGGCTTAGCTAATCAGAAGCCAGAGGCCAGATTACACACTGCATCCCAACTTTTGAGCTAGTGAGAACTCTTGGTGTGCGGTGCTGGAGGAAAGTGTATTGGGCTCCCTCTTGCCAGTCAAGAAGTACTGCTGCAGCAGCATGTGAGGCGCATAGCTGCTTATAGAACCCTTGTCAATTGAAATGTCAGTGGAAGAGCTCCTTTGACACCTGCTAAGCACTAGGAAGAGACGCGGATAGGTAAGTGTAATGCTTACCCCCAAAGGAGTCGCTATTTCTTTTGTCCCCTGTTTCTTGTGCCTATGACTCTGCAAGTAGCACCACCCAGTGAGTCCAGGCCCAGATCTAGGGGGGTGCTGGGGTGTGCTATGCCCCCAGATTTTAGTTGTGCCCCTCCAGACCTCTGAGAATGCATCCACAAATCCATGAAACCTGATGGGGACAGTTGATGTAAGGGAGCACTCTTGAGGGGGGAAATTGATGTAAGGGGACACTCTGAAGGGGACAGTAGATGTAAAGGAAAACTCTGATGGGGACAGTTGATGTAAAGGGGCACTCTGAGGGGGGCAATTGATGTAAAGGGACACTTTTAAGGGGACAGTAGATGTAAAGTAAAACTCTGATGGGGACAGTTGATGTAAAGGGGCACTCTGAGGGGGGCAATTGATGTAAGGGGACACTCTGAAGGGGACAGCCGATGTAATGGAAAACTCTGATGTGGACAGTTAATGTAAAAGGGAACTCTTAGGGAGGCAATTGATGTAAGGGGGCACTCTGATGAGGCAATTGATGTAAGGGGGCACTCTGATGTGCTCATTTTATGTATGGGGCACTCTGATGTGCCCATTTTATGTATGGGGCACTGTGATGTGGCCATTTTATGTATGGGGCACTCTGATGAGGACACCTGATGTAAGGAGGGACTTTTATAGGAGCTTTGAAGTAAGGAGGAACTCTGAGAAGAACTCCTGATGTAAGGAGGGACTCTGTTAGGGACACCTGATATAAGGGGGCACAGGTTCTGTTTAATCACCCTAAACTAATGACAGCATTCCCAGTTCACTCCTGCACCACCTCTGCACTACCTATCAGATGTTACTTCAGGGTTATGACTTTGGGTTGTGGTACAGAAGTATGTGAAGTGAACTGGGAAAACTGGTTCCATGCATCCCTGTCACACTACTGACATAATGCCCCTTGCCTTTTTTTTCATTGCACCCCCAGATCAGATAGGCTAGATCCAGCCCTGCCACACATTCTGACACACCTGGGCCGAAGGGGGAATATTTATTGCAAATGTATACAGTACTCCAACTGTTTAAAGAAAATTCTAACAGTAGTAGTTGCTCAACAAATATGTAAAATAATGGTATTTAAGATATATGGCTGGTAACAAACAGAGAGTAGTCCCTAAACCTTATGCTAGGCTTATTCGTGCATAAAAGGAGTAGTACCAAAACTAGAAAAGCTACAATTTCTGGGGAAATTGTGTGAAGTGTTCTTGCCTCCATCAGTACTCTACAACTGGAGTGGGCGGAGTAACTGGGTGGAGTGGCTTCAGTAACTGTTGTGTGGTTGGAGTGGCTGGAGTAACTGTGAAAAGGTTGGACTGGGCAGAGTAACTTTATGGAGTGGGCAGAGTAACTGTGTGGAGTGTTTGGAGTGAGTAAAGATAGTAAACATTACAATAACCAATTGATTGATCAAATTTAAAAAGTGCACATGGCAAGCTTGATAGAGTAAGAAATGCATTTCAACTTTTAATTATTTATATAGCACATTTAATTGCAATGTTGTTGCCCAAAGTGCTTCACAGTTACATTAAAACATACATTTATAAAAACATTAGCAGCATTATCACCTCAAATACTCTCTACTGTAGAAAACTTATTTCCAAACCTTTAACCAGAAGCCGGCCAAACTGTCACGAATTCAAAATTAGATTTCAAATAGGGCAGAAAATTGCTCACTTCACTGGCGTCTTCAAATGGTCGTAGTTTTAAAAACTATAAATCCTACAGCGAAGAGCTTTATATTGTGAGAATCACAAGATCCAGACCTACATTTTGATGCATAGTATGTCTCTGAAATATTAAAAATGAAGGCACAGTCGCAGTTTAGAAATTGCCCTTCAAATTTGAGGTGGCTAGAGTGGAGTTTCAATGAATGTCAATGGGCGGAGTGAGTTGCAAACAAATGGTCATATTGTGAAAACTATCAGGACTATGGCTTAGCCGTGGACATTTTTAGTGGCAGCAGGGATAGCTGAACGTTTTGATATAAGATTTGTGTAGGTGGGCTTGAAAATGAGGGCATGATGGCAGTTTAGAAATCATGTCCTGATTTTTCAGCTCACACTCTAGCTTTTGTCAGCTCCCACTCTAGTTTTGTACATTCCACCATTCATTCCTATGGAACCAATTTCACCACAAAACGCCGATATTTCGTGAACCATTCGGCGAAATGTTCCACAAAGTAATAGCACACCAATCGGGAACAATCCGCACATTTCGGTATATTACTGTCTATGTAGTGTAAAAACTGTGGGAGGAGTTAGGGTGGTAAATTTGGCTATAATAATAAGAATATATATGTGAGATAACAGTAAGTGGTCTTGCCAGGCAAGAACACTTAATAATAGTTAGGCAGTCTACATGAAATCAATTTCCCCACTAGCCAGCAGGTTTGGGTCCAAATCTGACGTTGGAGTGCTCAGGATAAAGTTTCTCCAAACACTGATAAAGCCACTTGCACTGTGACCCACATGGCCATGCTGTTACTCTTAACAGGGTGTATTAGGACTGGCCAATGGCCTCTAACCAACTCATTTGTCAATAGATAATCTCCCCCAAAGGCTCAGTAAAGACAGCGTCCTCTCTCTCCAGCAGTGTCCTCTCCAACAACTGGGCAGTTGGCTCAGTCAGTGCTAGAGACAATCCCAGTGTCCTCTG